TCTCTCTCTCTCTCTCTCTCTCTCTCTCTATCCATCGGCCGGCTCTCGGTGTGCACCACACCCCTCGACATCCTCCCCGCCCCGCCACGCCGCGATTTCGCTGCTGCCGTCCTCCCTTGATTGATTTACGAGGCAAACATGTCTGCAATCCGGAGCTCTCTTCCCCAAACACACTCGCAACTTTTTGCCCCGCGGCCGCTTCCACCACCGTCGCCACACCATGAAGGAGTCCCTCAGATCCTCTGCGTGCTTGCGTGCGTCCCGTATTTCCCTATTTTCTTTATTTGGAAATAAGAGCGCATTTTACTCCTGCAACACATAAACCGTCTCTCTGCATGGTTAATTAATTGACCAAATAAAAAAAATATTTAAACAACAATCGAATTATTGGCGGGTAAAAATTGTTAACTTTGTAACAATTAGAGCTTGATCCTGTACAATAAAAACTCATGGGCGTAAAAAAAGACTTACAAATAAGCTACAAAGAGAGGGCAAAAAAAAAGTCAACGGGGTTGTTGTCGCGCGTCGCGGATTCCGAGCCACTCGTCATTGAATAACGCGGAGAGGATAATACACTCGCGGCGAGCGAGCGAGAAATGAGCATCGAATAGGGTGAGGGCGAGGGGGTAGGGGAGGGGTGCAGGGGATGGGGGAGAGGATGGATACGGTTCGATTCTTGTGGGGTGACTATGAATCCTGATACTGGAAAGGGATTTACTGCCTGGGACATCTGGATGGACATAGATGAACTGGCCCACGTGGTGTACGGGCAGCGGCGGCGGCAGCCAGCAGCGTATACGCGCTGCGCACCCGGGGAGGAGGGTGACCGCCGTGCGGGGAGTAGAGGGTAAGAGGGGGGGGGGAGGACCGGCAAAATGCGATTTTGATAGACCGCCTCAACCGCCCGGCGGCGGCGGCGACCCTCTGGGCACCACCCGCCCTCCTGGCTACTGGTTGCGTGGACAACCATCTGGATGAACCTGCTGCTCTGCTGCATAGTCTTTTACCCACCCCCCTTTTCCCTTCTCTCTCTCTCTCTCTCTCTCTCTCTCTCTCTCTCTCTCTCTTTTAGAAATTCTGTTGTGTCCTTCAACTTCAACTTCAATGAGGGTTAGGACGTCAGTTCACATGAACTTGAATCACCGGTAACTTCGGTGGGACGTCAGTCCGCGAACGGACCATCCCCTGCGCCCCAGCTAGTGCTGGACACGTCCGTGGTTTCGCGGTGGAACCTGCACTGTTTCTCTGTTCGCCTAGCACATGGAAATGTTTAGTGGCAATAATAGTCTCACACGCGAGGGGTACATCACTCCGATTCTGGGCGTACACCTACTTTTAGTCGATTTTTTTGGGCCGTGACTTTTTGACTTTTTTTGACTTTTTTTTTGACTTTCTGATCAAATTTATTTGACTTTTATGATTTTTTCGCTGCTATATTTTTAAAATAAGGGAGAGTTGTGATTTTTGGGCTAGTAATAAGGTTTTTCCAAGACTTTTTGGTACTATTTGATTTGTAGCATGAATCGAATAAGAAGAAAATTCGTCATCAAAGTACACCCCCTAAGTAAGAAAAGCAAGGTATTTTCAGTATTTACGTTTTTTGGTAAAGAAATCCCATGAATTCCGAGTATTTTATTTTTCTCACTTCACCCACCACCCACCCCTCTCCCTCTTTAAAAGACAGTGATCTAGGACTTTCTGATACAATCACAGTTCCGTAGCTTTTTGGCCCCTTACAGGCAGATATTGCACTCGCATGTTGACTTTTTGTTGACTTTTTCAGTGCCTTTTCTCTGACTTCTCGTCGACTTTTCGTCGACTTCTCGTTGACTTTCATTGACTTTTTTGACTTTATTTGACTTTTTTGACTTTTTATTTGACTTTTTGACTTTTTTTGACTTTTCAAATGACTTTTTGACTTTATCTTGACTTTTTTCTTGACTTTTTTAATCGCGTACACCTACTTTTAAGAGTGGTGTACCCCTCGCTCACACGTCTCTCACCCCATCATGTGTCTCGAAGCTCACTCTCTTACTCGCCCGATATAGTTCAATAATTATTCAGTTTTACTATCAATCATACTTTTTGCGAGTATCCGATCCCGTCCGATCCTCACATGTCGTGCAACTCACCGGAACTACTGGTCCCTACATGCCTATGGCAAGAGAGGGAACAAACATGTCGATTGTCGATCATCTAATTATTTTTTCAAAAACCTTGGCCTGCGCCTGCTAGTATGCCCCCCCCCCCTCCCCCTCGAGACACACGGTCGCGATACTTCTCCTCGCGTGGCCTCCCCGCCCCGCCCCCCACCCGCGCACCCCGCCGGGAGCACCGCGTCGCTTCCCCCTGCGCGCCGCGCCGCGCCGGGCCACCGCCTTTGATGAGTCCGCCTAGATAAGGGAGGTGATGGCCCGGCCTTTTTAGAAAGTGAAAACACGACTGATGCTCTTTCGCTGTCGGAGTGCCTTGCAGGCTGCTGCGGGGCGGGGCGCGCGGTCCATCCCCCCCCCCCCTCTCCCTCCCCCCTCTCGGTCCCCGAGACTTGGCTCGACCACTTAGCGTGCGCGTACCCGGGCTCGGTATGGTGATGTCACAGCGAGACGCGCGGCGGCGGTGGCTGCGCAGCGTTACAACGAGGACGAGGGGGGTTTGGAGGAGGCGGGGTATAGGGGGAGGGAGGGGAAGGGGAGCTCACAAGACTGCTGATAGATTTTTATTTATTTTTTACCAGCTGGACTGCTGAACCCACCAGTCAATGGTACAGTAGTAATGCATTTACCGACTTTCCGTGATTTTGAAATAAAAAAAAATATTTCTCTTGTCTTTGGAATAATTGACGTGAAACGCGTGGTATACGCCGTACACGTATAACGCTGCAGTTTTAGCACTCCTCTATCCTCCCCTTTTTCCTCTTTCCTGCCCCGCGCGCTGCTGCCCCCGCCTCCCTCCCCCTCTCAGCGCTCTCGCTGACCGAGTTTGTTTTTGCAGCGCCGTGTTGTGCCTCATTGTGTCGCTGGAGCGACGTGCGCTGCAACCCCCTCCCCTCTCAACAACCGCCCACCTCACGACCTCGCGTTGACATTTTATTGTGGAGGAATGAGTGGAAAATAATCGACACACACACACACACACTTGCCCACATCCATGCACACTCGCACACACACACACAGACACACACACGCTCATGCACAGCGCCATGCGCTGGACGCGTTCGCCTCATGTACCTCGCGGGCGAACAGGTTCCAAAGTCAAACACAGAGGGAAAACATCAACAAACCAGATAGAAAAACGCACATTATTAATTACTCTGCTTATTATGCCGGGAAATGTGTAGTAGTTCGTTAGATGCTTTGCTAAAATGCCCAAATTGTTAAAATAGCTCAAATATACTTGCAAGTAAGCATACTATATGATTTAAAGTACATTATTATCACGGCTACTGGAACGTTTTCTTTCTCGAAAAGTGGAAGGGAAGCGGTGGTTGGGGAAAGGGCTGCCGCTCTGTAGCCGTGGGGTGCGGATCGAAGCTCATCCCGTTGATAAACACCGCTATCGCGAGATCGCCGAGCGGGAGCTTCGCCTGATGGGGGG